AAAATGATTTTATGATCTGGGATAGCGCAAAGAAGGCCCGCACCTAGTGACCGAGCGAAGAGGGAGAGGAGGGAAAAGGGGAGGATGCGCAGAACTGCGGTAAGTATAAGGAGTACAAACTCTAGCCAAAAGGTGCTAAATCCATTGAAGAGCTAGTTAGTTCGCTTGGGTGTGGTATCCAGAAAATATTTCTTTGCACAGTGGATACAAAAATACTTGTTTTTTACACTTTCCTTTTTAAAAGTTTGGCGTGTCGCTGGAACGAGTGTGTGGCTGAAATTCAACAAATGATGAAAGAAAGTGCAAACGTGCAAAAGTGCAAACTGTTGTACCCTGCAGAAAAGTCGCGGATCAAGCCGAGCAAGTCTTGACGGCAAAATTTTTTGATATGTCTTATACAGCTCCGCAAACGAGGTCCTGAAACAAAGCTACTTTCAGCTATGATTTGTGTTAAACAAGCTATTTTTGTGCTAGTAAAACTACTACTTTACAAAAATACTTGTGAACTAATTGGATGAGGTGTTGTCATGCGGAAAAACTGATACGCGTGCACTTCATACTTTTTTTCTAGTCGTTGGATATATTCGTTCTTGACTGTCCTGTTTTAGCCAACAATTTACTTAATTAATATGCATCGTTTATTGTTGTTACATGCGAAACTCACCTGGACGGATATCCCTTCTGCATCAGTTTCAGGACACTTGCCATCCCAGCGCATTTCAGTTGGCTCAGAATCATTGCACCTTCGAATTTGCCGGCTTTCATTTCCGAATTCGGCTTAATGCATCGCACGAAATTTGTGTTCTAAAAATCATTGGAAAATGAATCATCAGAGCACTATCAGGCACACAACCGACCTGTCTTGATTTGAATAATTTGTGGCTCGCATCATGCGTAGGCCTTCTCACTCGCTTTTGTTACTAGATTTTATGAGCGCGTTATAAGTGGATAGATATCATCAGCGCAAGCAAAAAACTTTTTAGGCGCATTGGTATGGTTCGCATAAACAAAATTATATTGTACATGCAGAG